GATTGGTAGCGGTGCTTGCGACCCTCTGTCTATAACAGTTTGTCCCGCTTCCTTGCCCGACTTGTCACCCTTTTTTAGGTTTTTTGTTGCACCTTTAGGAATCTCTCTCTCCGCAGCTCGCTTCCCTTTACACGTTCGTTTGTTATGGCTAAAACTCCCACATTTCTTGCACTTGACAGTTTGAAGAGTTCTAGGCAGTGTATTTCTTATCCTCGGTTCATCATTCTCCTTGTTACGATTCTTTTTAGGACGACCGATAGATCTTCGCATGACTGGAGGGCTGATTGGGTTAGCAACATTAACAGGCCATAGTTGTGGGCCATTGGTTGGCATAATAATATGGTTATAAGTAGCCAGAACAGTAGATTTCCTAGACAATATGACACAATGATTTTAGTAAACGTACAAAAAAGTTGAATGTAAATGAACATAATATACGAGTAGGTGATACCTATAGAATGATGAAACATACTCTTCGGGCTCTTTCTTGTTATACCATATGCATGCAATAGCATGACAACATGGTATTCCACTTAAATCCCACTTCCTACAACCACATTTCTGTTGAAGCAAGTTCACAGCATATGTCTCAACACCGTTTGAAACTCCGAATATAGCAAAGTCATCATCTGCATGCCATGTTGCAATCCATCCTTCTGCTGCCCTCTTTGTTTTTTCCAAGACTTTTTGAATGTTAGGACTTGTAACACCTGTGTACCTACTTAATTTCTCCTTTTGAGCAGAGATTCTCACTGTTATGTAATGTTTGATTCCTTCAAGTAGTGAAATGATCGGCTTATCTCTATACTCCAATATTGCACGATTAAAAGCCCCACACATATTGTTGACTTGAAAATCACATTGCGTGTCTGTTTTGAAATGAGAATGAGTCCAACATGCAGCCGGGACATCCATCATGTCTTTCCAAGCATTGACATTGAGCTCTTTCATATGATTCATTGCTCTTTCCCATGCAGGAATTTTTGTGGCTCTAGCTGCCCGCCATAAAACCTCCTTCATAAATATCCCAGGATATTTCTTTCTCCAATTGCCATACAAGTGTTTAACACATAGTCTGTGTTTAACATGTTGGCTTGTCTCAAGAATAGCCGGTACCAATTCCTGAAATAACAACACATAACAACACATCAAACAACAGTACATAACAACACATATCAACACATCATTAGTCTTTGATTAATTTAAATGCACATTAGTCTTTCTATCTATTTATTTACTTTTGCTTATCAAATTGTTATTGAAAACTTAGCAGTAGCAGCATCACATGTGGAAACTTAGGCCATATGTTATAGCAGCATCACATTTGGAAACTTAGGCCATAGCAGTAGCAACATAACATATCAAATTGTTATTGAAATTCCCTTCTTATTTAAATGCATATCAACACACCATTTAGGCCATAGCAGTAGCAGCATCACATTTGGAAACTTAGGTCATAGCAGTAGCAGCATCATATTTGGAAACTTAGGTCATAGCAGTAGCAACATCACATATCAAATTGTTATTGAAATTCCCTTCTTATTTAACAAATAGCAACACATATCAAACAACATAGAAACACTATAATGGAACATAACAGCATAGTAGCACATATCAAATAGCATAGCAACATAACAACACACATAACACATAACACATATAACAACATTGTAAAACTAACCTTCTGTTGATCTGATATAAATACATATTTGTTGTCTTTTATAGATTGCAAGTCTTCTAGTAACGAATTAAGGAACCATTTCCAAGAGTCTTTTGTTTCAGCTTCCATTATGGCATAAGCGTTTGGATAAATCTTGTTATTTCCATCCTTACCAACAACACCTATTAACTGACCTCCAAAGTCCCCTTTAAGAAAACAAGCATCCAATCCTATTAGAGGCCTACACGTCGTTGCAAACGCTGCCTTACAAGCTTCTAAGCATACATATATTCTTTCAAAGACAAGACCACCATCTGAATCAGCACACTTAATTTTAACAGTGGAGTTTGGATTTGACTTTAACAACTCCTCACCATAGCTTCTAAGATGTGTGAATTGTTCACGAAGAGCACCTTGAATCAATTCCATTGCCTTTTTATTGACTCTATAAGCTTGATCCTTTGATAACTTCACCCCCACTTCTTAATAGCTTCTGCAATCAACCCTTTGGTTTTTATTTCAGGAGTGTGTCTTATGGTGTACACAAATTGACGACCCAACCAATCCGTTTTTGCTTGTCTATTTTTGGTTGTCCTATGATAGCCATGACGATCAGTTAAGCTAACAAGTTGCCAATATTGATTGGTAGTCCTCATGTTAAACCTAATATGAAATGGACAACCATCTACACACTTGACAACCATTCTCTTCTTGTCATTTTTGTTGAATACAAGATTCTTCTTGTTCTCCATTGCATACTCCTTTATGGCATCTTTGATTTGTTGTTTATCCTTGAACATCATCCCTACTTCAAGTTTTGTGGGTTCCCTAAAGATTGGAAACTTTGCCATATCACCTTCGACATCACTACCTGATGGAGTTTGAAGTACATCTGAATCACTACCATTATTGGAATTACCATCCAACTTTGATGGTTTTTCTGCTATAGCATTAGGTAAAACGGTCTTTCGATTAATACTAACGTCAACACCTAAATTCATCACATCAATTTCATCTTCCAAATCTTCATCCTCTTCCTCATCATCCTCACTGCCCATGCTATAATCTGGATCTGTTTCACTCTTGTCATCTACGTCATCAACATTAACGCTAACCTCTTCATCGACAATAACCTCTTCATCTACTCCATCGACACTAACCTCTTCATCTACTCCATCAACACTAACCTCTTCATCGTTTGTTCCCTCAACATTAACTTCATCATTTGCTCCCTCGATATTAACTTCACCATTTGCTCCTTCACCATTGTCTTTTTCACCATTATCCTCCTCAAAAATAACATCCTCAATACTTATTTCTTCCACTTTGTGTTTAACATAAAGATCAACTACCTTAAATCCTCTAACATCCTCCATTAACCTTAAGACATCATTATCATTATTCAGAGCCCGAAGTCCACGAGAAAAGGAAAAATTAGCATTCCAATACCATAAACACTTTATATTACGATACCCCCTTACTCTTGATCAAATCTTCAATTTGCATGTAGGACATCGAGTCCACATCCCAATCCCAATTCATTTCAGTTACAAGCCCATCAACATACAATAGAACTGGATTTTGAATTAAATGTCCCCTATGGTGTACTCTAAATCTGAAAGCTTGGGTATCAGAGGGCCTACAAAACACAAACGACAGTTTCTGAATTAAAACATAGATAAAACCGGGAGTTGGTATAAACAAATCATATGCTATGATAGAACACAAACGCCATTTGCGTGTTTAGGGTTTTTGTATTTAGAGGTGAGTTACGAAACATACCTCGACACGTAATTTCGGTTTGTCATTTCAGAGACGACGGGAAGCGAGTTGCAGTTTGATATAGAACTGGGTTTGAAGAAATGGAAAGATTCGTTCGTTCGTGAGCTAGGTTTGAAGAAATGGGTTGAAGATGAAAGAGCTAGGGTTTTATGTTTATGTTTTATTTTATTAATTTTCTGAAAATGAAATAAAAAACCACGTTAATGACATGAAAATGATATTAAAATTAATAAGACCATTTTAAATGACATGGAAATGCCACATCATCATTCAACACGCCACATCATTAAAAACATGACTTAAAATGGCAAGGGGACTAATATCAATCTTGAAACCTAAAAAATGGACGAAAATCGTGGTTTTTTAAATGGGGGGATAAAACTCAAAAAAACACAAAATAGGGAGACCAAAGCTGCAATTAAGCCAACTTATTAATAGTTAAAAATAAAGATTTGATTTGTATACATTAATCAAAATCCTCACAATAGAAAATATGAAATTATCGTTATCAATATATGCTCTTTCTGGTCATATTTATAAAAGACAAATTATCTCTATTTCAATTAAATTAATATAATATTCTTAATTAATATTTAATTATTAATATATATTCTATTTAGTTATTTTTAAATTCTTTTGATAATTAATATATCTGATTAATAATTCGACCAAATACATTTATAATTAGACCAGATACATACATGAATCATTCAATGAATTATTCAATAAATCTAAAAGATACATTATCTCATAGAATTATTCAATTAACCTAAAAGATACATTATCTCTTATAAATAGAATGAGAGACTATTTAATATTTTCTTTTTTATTTTCTTTTTTATGAAAAGTTCAAAAAACGAGGTAGTAACAATTTACTATACCATGTTTTTCTAAATACACATTTGGTATTTGAAATAAATTTTTAATATATGCACCAACTTTTCCCATACCATGGTTCTTTGTATTTTTCTGTATATAATCATTTCAAAAAAGATTATATAAACTCTTTTAAAAATATTAATCCATACACAAAGACAAACTAAATTCCACAAAACCTTATAGACCAAACTCTACTTTACCCATAAGTCAAACTTCAGAACAACTTGAGCCCCATTTTCATGCCTAAGTCTAAAATCACATTATCACATTATTAATGGAGCAACAATTTTGCTTCCAACTAATTTCAAATTCAGTGGCCCATGATCCCAACTAGACAAATTATTGGTCAAACCAACTAATCAAGTAGTAGTTAAACTATGTAAATTTCACTTTATCAAAATAAAATGCATCCTAAACTTGAGATAATATCCAAACAAAATCAAACCTTCCAACAAAAACTCATGATATTTGAACAAAATTTGAAAATTTAAGTATCCAAACTAGTGTATATAGCTTTTTACCAAAAGACAGGAGCAAAAGCACAACAGTAAATGTGTTTTATCGATTCAACTCCCCTAAGAGGGATGTATAGAACAGAAATAACTTAAGCTACCTCACAAACCTAGCCATCCATTAGGAAAATCGGTTTCGCAGCTCCTTCTAGAACTAAACTTCTTATTTAGAGAACAAAGGTGTATCCGAGCACCAACAGCAGAACGACTAACAAAGCAGCAACGGCGATCCATATCAAGTAGTTGTTGGACTTCTTGCGCTTCAGAATAGCTTTTGGAATCGACTCCGGCCCTTTTGCTCGGCTTCTGGACCTGATAACGCTCTCCTTTGTCGCCTTTTCCTTCACTGGAGCCGGGGCCTCAACAACATCGTTAACCTTTTCTGGTTCGGTTGCCTCGACCTCTGCAGCTTCCTGTTCCTCCTGAGTGGCAACAGCTCCTGATTTCTTCTTTGCCTTCTTCTCCCGGTCCTGGAAGAAAAAAAATCACATTTTGGAAATTTTATCTCAATTGAATAAGCTATAAGAATCACATCAAAAAGTAAATTACCTTGAGCTTCTTCTCAGCTTCCTTTTGAGCTTTGAGAGCTGCTTTGGCTGCAGCTTTCTCTGCCAATTTCTTCTTCCTTTCCGCAGCCAGCTTTGCTTTCGCAATTTCCTCTTCTCTTTTCAGCTCTTTCGCCTTCGCTGGATCGATTAAAGGCTCTTTTGCAGCAGGGGCCTCCTTATGAGGATTCTCGAATTCATAATCATCATTATCCGACTTAGTTTTCAAATCCCTGCCTTTGGTTTTGGTTTCTTTCTGAGTAGCCAAAGTTTCTTCCGGAGAAGGCTTAGGCTCCTCCTTAGGCTGTTTCGCGACGGCTTTTGGTAATGGCTCGGCCACAGCAGGCTTTGGTTCTTCCAGCAGTGGCTTCTCGTCAGGGTTCCTCATGCGCCCGTCCCTACTCAGCAGTCGCATGTCCAATGATGACAAGATTCTTTTCTCGTAATCATCCCTAAAAGCTTTGCCACCATTCCAAAGTGACATGAACTTCTCAACCTACGATCAGGAAAAGTTAGATTCAGCCACAATTGATATCAGTCAGGAAAAACATGAAAAAAGGATGGTTGCTCTGAAATGCCATAATTGACGATTCAATAGCTCCAAAGAATGAACATTTATGTCAACAACTAACCTCTGTCTGGGAAAGTTCATCAAGAGCAGCAACATCTTTCTTAGCAGCCAGATCTCGTGCCTTGGTCAGGAGAGTACGACTTTGGTAGAAATAGGAATTCTGAAAAAGAAAATACCAATTCAAATTCAGAAATCACAAAGAAAGAGAGAAATATCGACAAAAATTACTACATAGTTACATCAGCAACAGAATCAAGCTTGTTTAAATTAATCAAGGACAAAAATTACACTTTGCGAGGTTCATGATGACAATAGATATGCTAAACAAGTGTCTGTTCGTGATTGTTATCGCAATTTCAACTAAAACTTAAACAGCATGTTTTAGATACAAACTTCACAAATTGCAATGCAATAATGAACGAAAATCTGAATATTTAAAAACAGACTGGAAGTCATTTGAATGCCACATTTTCAAATGAATGAAGATAGAAGCAACAAACTCCACATTTTGCATTCCACCTTTCAAAATGAGACGAATGAAAGATGTTTACATTGCCTAAAGGTTTCACAATTTCCTATGCATATATTTGAAAACATTTAAACAATAATATATTTTCGAATTTAATCCTTAATAGTGAATATAGAAAATGTTAACAGAAAAATAATTCACAGCTAAATGCAGGAAAACATACCCCCTCATCGCGCTGTTTCCTAAGCTTCTGAATGCTCTCAAAAGTCTGTTCCCTCTTCTGAGTAACACCAACAAGTTCTTCCTGCAGAGACTGGATAGCAGTGTCGATGGTTTTCAGCTCATCATCAATTTTAGCGATTTTGGACCGAATCGCTTGTCTTTCCTTCTTTACTCCATCCAAATCCCCACCTATAAGCTGCAAGAAAGTTAAACGTCTCAAGGATTTTTCAACTAATAATATAGATATAATTAAAAAATCAGATCTCTTAAAAAAAAATCACCAGCGAACTTACGAAAACTTATATCTTACCTTAACCTGATCTTGGATGGCATCTTTCTGCCCAATAGTATCCTGTAACTTGGTCCTCATTGCAGCGTTAGCAATAACTTTCTCCCTTGTCCCCTCGAGCTGTTTGATTTCTCGGAGGATTTGCTTTTCCTCAGTCAATGGAATGCTCTCATGCTGAATGCGGTACTGTAAGCTATATATCTGTATCCATAAAAGTATACCGGCAGTGAGTGAATAGAGAACGCATGTTGGAATTAGATTAAGCGCAAGTAAAGTGAGAGCTCTGGATTAAGAAACAACTAGGAGATTGATGACATACGACATCGTTAAGTTCCTCCTCAGATGAGCATATACCACTGCGATTATTACGCATCTTTCCCAATGCCTGCTGCAGAGGCTCGATCTCCTTCATTTTCTCATCAAAGATACTCTGAAATTGCTTGCTGTCACCTCTTAGAATCTTAATCTGAGAAATCAACTCCGATCGTTCCGACTGCAGGGAAGAGTAAAAACCAAATATACAATTATATCAGATGTATGCTAAGACTATAAAACTTCAAAAGAAAAAACTTCCCATTGTCAAGTCATGCGCAATCCCTATTAATTTTTTATCACATGTTAGATGACTGCGAGACATAACTTCAGGAGTAGACAAAAAAACGTTACTTTTTATGGTTTATTGTTCAATGTCATGGCACCAAAACATGTATGCTTTCAACATAGGAGAATAAATGATTTGACTCCATCGAATAAATTTTCTAGATTACATCACAGGGTAGTACGACAAAATGTGCCTTTTACCGTTTCCTTTCAACACGCCTCGAGTTAAGAGGCACCAAAACATGTATGCCTTCCAGACCGGAAAATAAATTATTGGACTCCTTCGCATTAATTAACAACTCGAGCGTAGCATTTAAAAAACAATATCATTTTAAAACATTCTGACTATCGTATATCTGCATTAACACCATAGCATCACAGTTAAATGGTTTTGTCTTTTTAGGTTTTTGTACAGTTACGAAACCGACAAGCAACAATGATGAATTATCACCAACTCACCCGCTTTGCCTTCAGTGCTTCAGTGATCTGAAACCGAGCTTGGTTTTTCTTGCTGATATCCTTATCAAGCAGATCAATCTTAGTTTTGATGGATGGATCATCATAAGGCCTGCACCTGACAAAATAGAACGAATGAATCTGCTTAGGTGCAGGCCACTCTTCAGCGGCGTTCTTCGGGGTATTGGAATCAGCATCATCAGTAGCTTCCCCTTTAGCAGATTCATCTCCATGTGAGCCAAACTTGATGGCCTCACCAGCTCCCACATCTTGTTCCAGCTTTCCATTCTCCTGTTCATGCACAGCAGATTTGTTTCCTTCAACACCATTCTCAATCGGTCCTTGAACCATCTCGAATCCCGCAATCTCAACCGCCATAGCTCCAACTACAAAATCCTAGAAACCTGAATCCAAATAAATAAATAATACAAACATATTTACAAGATATCAATGTAGCTAAGATTCAGCAGCATGCATAAAATTCAATCCGTTCGATCCAATAAACAGATAATCTCAAATGCTAAATCATGAATTAAAGATTAAAATTTCAGGAACATTAACATTGTAACATCATTATCAAACAACCAAAACATGCAAACAAATACACATGCAGAAAATTCCAATAGTAAGAACACACACCACATACAGAACACATACAGAACAAAGCAATATGAACAACGAACACCTCACAAACAACCAATCCAAGCATAGCGCATGACATCGAAAAAAAGAGATCTAAAGTTTAGCATCATAATCTCAAACATGCAAAGGAAAAAAAATCACAAACATCAAAATCAGATTGACGATTTATTAAAATAAAAATAAAAATCAGATTTTTTAGGGTAAAAATCAATTTTATTCAATTATGATCAAACCCAACATGCAAAATCCAAATCTCGTAATATCAAGAGAGAGACATCAAAATCAAAACATAAAAATTAAAAGGGCATGATCTGAATAATCAATTACTCAATCATTGATACAGAAACAAACCTTGAGCTGAAGAAAAGAAAAACTATAACAGAGAGAATTGAATATGATAGAACAGAAGAGAATACCAGAGTGTAGAGAGGTAAGGAGATTTGTAGAGAAGAAGACCCCTTTTGACAAAGGGTCTCCGAATTCAATTCCAAATTATGTAAAAAACCCAAAAAATGTGAGATTGAAAAAATGGGTCAGATCTCGCTCTGTTTTCTTCTTCCTTAGTCCTCCACGTGCAGGTTTAATCAGAACTCGTTTCGCAGAGAGGGAGAGAGAGGGAGAGAGAGAAATGAGGGGAGAGAGAAAGAGAGCTACAACATTATACAGTGTCGGAATTTATACATAAAAAAAATAAGGATAAAGATTTTTTCATGTTCGACAGTTGATTTCGCTACCTCGATTTCTTCGAAACGGTAAAAACGTAGGGCTAATGTTTTTTCTTTACAATGTTATTTTGGAATTTTCAATTTTGTTTTTTTTTAGGATTTTTCTTTAATTGGGTAAAAAAGGTAAATGAAATTAAGAATTTGGGTTTTGGGTTTTGTGATTTTGGTTCTTCTTAGTATATGAATCTAAAATTACCGTTACCTATATATGTTTTTGTTATTCTAGGAATCAATGGAAGGTTTGTTTCTTTAAGTAGAAAATATGCTGTAAAGGGATTTAGTGTTTGCTATGTACCTTTGAGAACAAATATGTTACAAGATAAAGAAAATATGCTGTAAAGGGATTTAGTGTTTGCTATGTACCTTTGAGAACAAATATGTTACAAGACTATGTTTGAATAGGAGAATGATTTTTTTTTTTCTCTTTAGGGGAATATTAGGTGAATTTGTAGGTAGGTAATTATAGGGTTGTAGAGATTTGGTTATTCTATTTGGTATTTTTTAAATTTTCACACATTTCAAAGTATTAGTAATTTTAAGAAAATAAAATAAAAATCAAACATTTTAAATAAATTAGCGGTTATGACCCATTAAAAATATAAAATATATTAACAACATTAATGCATATCAATTAAATTTATTAAAAAATCAAAGGTATGAGTTTGATAATATAATGATATGATTGACATATATAATTATTTGATTTAATATTGATAAAAGTTAAGACGTCAGTTTAATGTGTTTATGCAAATTGTTTAAAGTTAGTTTTATCTATCAATGATTTGGTTCATTGACTTTGTTGTTCATCAAAATATCCTTTATTGTAAAGGCTTAGGTAAGAAGTAGAAGTCTGACCTGGGTTAAACTATATTTAGAGGAGTGCTAAGAACGTTCTCCAATACCTATATTTTTTTATTGGGTAAAACACATGTTGATTTCTCACTTTAAAAATTAAATCACACATAAAGTGGTAGGATTTACATGTGTTTCACCCAATAAAAGAGTGAGTGCTAGAGATAGTGTTAAAAAGAAAGTATTCATAGCATTTTTCTTAGAGTCATAATTAATTATAACAAATTCAACCAAAAAAAACCAAGTGATTAAAAACAAGTTGGTTGATTGGTATAGTGTAAGCCACGCAATTTAATTACTCGATACTTGTAACACCCCCACTCTACCCCGTACGCTTATTATAAAACATATACGAAAATATTTCATAAAAGTACATCAGAGTTCTCAAAACAAGTAGGATGTCACACTAAGTCACCTCATTTTTCACAATTAAACCAATGATAACTAGCTTTCAATTAAACTGTGGAATAAAGTCTATTGTTTAAACATAATCTCCACCACACGGTGATCATACATCTTTAATCCAACGAATAAAAGATACGTAACAATTAATCAAAAAAATAAGCAAATATAACGTAATCCTGTCATCCCATGTTACGTATCAGAGCGACTCCTAGGACTCGATCAAATAGCACACACTCCAAGCACTACTCAGGTACCTAGTCATCTGCACTCCCCAAGGAGCACAGACGCAACAAACAGAAAAGGGGTGAGAACTACATTCAATAAATAAGCGGTGAAATACACATGCTAAGGGGTAGTTACACACCACACGCACAATCATACATATACGACGCACATCCACGTGCCATCTCAATCACTCGACATCAATAGTCCATATCCAAATACAAAGATTCAATGTGACTCACTGACTCGATACAATGCATGTGGTACCAACACAATCACATACGGTTCACCTTAGAACCCGATTCCCGTCGGAATCCGGATAAGTCGTATACGTTCCTCTGAACTACAACTTATCTCCACAACGACTTCCACCTGAAGTCCGGATAAAACTAGGCACCCATCATGGATTCCCATCTAGCCATCTCCACAAGACACATGACATGAAATGTATGACAACACAATTATGCAATATAATAATTCAAGCATAATTCACGATTATCAATGATCTACACGAGCCATCCACTCACCGTAATCCTCTCGGAAATTACCACAATTGCATAAGATTATTCACACTTGATAATCATGGCTCATACTCATCAAAACACGCCCTTAAAGGCACACACATAACATTCCACATCCTCCTGATTTAATTCATTACCAATATTCCCTAGGTTCATTTTAGTTTTATTAATCCTACTGATTGAACGGAATTGTGTTCCAAGCGAACACTGGACATAAATCACAAAAATTGGGGAAAAGTCATCCCAGACTGTCCATACGCGTATTTCCTGCTGTCATACGCGTATCAGCCCTACCTTACGCGTATGACCAGAGGCCTTCAACTCCCAAAATACCTCAGGGTCACTACATACGCGTATGACTACTCTCATACGCGTATTGGCCAGGCCCATACGCGTATCACCAGATGGTCGTGCTGGCACTGGGGACAGGGCACGTCTGCTACGCGTACAGCCCCTTGGAAAGTCCCTCATACGCGTATTGACACCCCCATTATGCGTATGACCAGCAGATTTGTCAAAAACTCGGATCTCATCATTCCCACAAGTTTCTCCTCAAGATCCATCATCATACCTTCCCATTCATCCTAAAACTTAGATTTTAGTCGATTTCCATGCATCCTATCTTCTGTTCTTTCCAGATTCTATCTATTATATCTAGTTTCGATTACGGTTAAACCCTTATTTTTCAGATCTACCATCTGTCATAATTTCCCCACAGTGTTCATAACTTTTCACACGAATTTTAAATCAGTTCTAGATTTGCTCACCCAACACCAAATTAGAATATTCAACAATTACAGTAATTTACAAGAAGAATCATACTGTTACGAAAATCAGACCAATAAGCAAGAATAAACAGAATTCCTACGAGAGAAGGGACCTCTCACTACCCTCTCATGTTAATTCACCCATTTGAAATCCATTCTCCCCCCTTACCTTGGAATGAAGCTTTTTCCTTAACAACAATGGAGAATTTGCCCCTCTTTGCCCTAACTCTCCTTTCTCTGTATTTTTCCTCTTTTTCGTGTTAACTGACTAATTCCTCCACTAACTCTCACTTAACCCTTTGATCAGGTTTTAATTCATTTAATTTAATTACTACTAATAATAATAACCATAATCCTATTAATATTATTATTAATAATAATTGAAATAATAGTATTAATAATCATAATGCTCTTAATCTTGTTATTAAATTATCCCTTATTCTAGGTCCACATTACCCCCAACTAAGGTCAGCTCTCACTCTCGCCCTTAACCTCATACCCCTAAGGAAGGACATCACAACAGCTACACACACAATAAAGTATAAAATGACTAAATAATTCAAATGGGGTGTTACAATACTCGCCAATTACTCGATGCTCACCATACCATAATGTTGCAACACAATTAGAGGACATATGCATGTGTTTTTAACAATGCATTTAATAATATCCATTAGTAATAAACATATAGAAAAAAATTGAGTATAATACATTCAATATCAATCATTAGAAAATAGAAACGGATGTATTCATTAGCAAATAAAAATCGTTCTTACATTTATTAACAAATAAAAATGGTTGTATCCATTAATAATTGTTGTAAATTTTGTTATTTGTTGTGTATATATTTATCTTTTGTAAATCATATAAAAATATCAATTGATACATATTTTGTAGTCTCTAAGTTTAACAAGTTTTGCAATCTCCAAACCCATATCAGCATTATTGACCACCCTTAAGATAAATTCATTTCTTCTCGATGTTACAACTGCTCTTAAAATATCTTTCAATGTGAAAGATCATATGATAGGGTGATTTTGATGCATTATACAAGTAATTGTGATCTTTATACCAATAACGCAATATCACTTTATCCTAAGACATTATCCATTACCACGTCCAACACTGACCTTTGGCGTACAAGATTCAACCATCCACCTTCAAAGTTCTTACACAAATAGTGATTATTTATGGATTATTTAGAAATTTGAATACATTTATGTATTGTCATTCGTTTTCTACTA